AGAAGGATTTGGGGGTCCTGGTAGATAGTAAATTGTCCATAAGCCAGCAGTGTGCCCTTGTCGCCAAGAAGGCCAATGGAATCCTGGGCTGCATAGGGAAGAGTGTGACCAGTAGGTCGAGGGAGGTCATTCTCCCCCTCTACTCGGCACTGGTGAGGCCACAACTGGAATACTGTGTCCAGTTTTGCGTTCCCCAGTTCAAGAGGGACAGGGAACTGCTGGAGCGAGTCCAGCGTAGGGCCACCAAGATGATTGAGGGATTGGAGCATCTCCCTTATGAGGAAAGGCTGAGAGAGCTGGGACTCTTTAGCCTGGAGAAGAGAAGGCTGAGGGGAGACCTTATTATTGCTTACAAATATCTAAAGGGTGGGTTGAAGGAGGATGGAGCCAGACTCTTCTCGGTGGTTCCCAGTGACAGGACGAGGGGCAATGGGTGCAAGTTGGAACATAGGAAGTTCTGTTCCAACACATGGAAAAACTTCTTTACAGTTAGGGTGACAGAGCACTGGCACAGGCTGCCCAGGGAGGTTGTGGAGTCTCCTTCTCTGGAGATTTTCAAAACCCGCCTGGATGCAGTCCTGAGTCATGTGCTCTAGGCAATCCTGCTTTAGCAGGGGAGTTGGACTAGATGATCTCTAGAGGTCCCTTCCAACTCTGAAAATTCTGTGATTCTGTGATTCTGTTGCAGCACTTGGCAAGCTGGGACCATTCAAACAAAGGGGCCTCTGAGTATCTGACCAGCACTGGAGCTGGTGACACAGAAGCATTAAATCTTCTGAAAGCATTTAGAGCTAAAACTTTGTCTCTTTGTGTACAGTAAATAAATACTTGGTTTTGCCTTTTACTTTAATGTGGTTTAGCCAGGTATCTTGGACTCATACAGCAGTGTGGCAGATCTAAAAGTTGAGTTACCTGGACATGCAGCAAAAATATCAGGCGCATCCCTGGACCCTGAGAAAGGCTGTCCTATCCTTCTAAGCACCTTTTCCTCATTTTTAAAAATCAACTATTTTCCTACCTCCTCCTCTGTAGGTGAAGTGTGTTTTAGTCACATCACGGAGCAAGGGCACAGATTTGAGATTAACAACATAACAGGGCTGTGATAAGTCATTTGTCTTCTGTGATATTCCCTGCCACTGGGCTCAGTGATACAAAACTCAAATACCAGAAGAGGGAGACTGCCCCCC